CAAAAGGGGGAAACGCATCAAATTTGCTCAGTCATCTTCGTGACCACCACCCACTGTTATATAGCGAATGCAAGGTAACTTTTACCTCAATACCAAAACTAACTGGGCAAATAATTGGACAACATATATTGATTAGAGATTTAATATTTCATTGTCACTTGTTTAATGCAAAGCTTCCGCGAAGAAAAGTTCGCAGCAAGTGGCTTTGAGCCAAGACGAACAAACTTTCAAACTATAAGGTTGACATTTAAGGGATAATGTATTGTATATTCATAGTTAACTTATTACACTGATTTTTTGTTTGTTTACCTAAAATAAAATATATAAATAATATATAAATACGGGGATATGAAATACTGAATTGAGATTAATGTTTTGAAATCTTACCGGTTTATAAATCCATTATGAACAGTGTACAAAACAATCGTCAGGACAATATGATCACTACAGCAAAATTATAGTAGTATTAATACTAAATTCCTCAGATTTCATTTTCAATAATCAAAAACTGAGACGCAAGACGGCAAGCTGCATTTGAATGAATTGAGAGAGCACGTCCACGCCTCCGTGGTGATACAAGAGACAAGAGAATTCCAAACAGAAGTGAGCATCCCTATGCCCTACTCCCTTCGAAGGGCAGAGCCCTTGAAGTGTGTTCTTTGAAGGGTGCAGGGCATTACTGTCTCGTTTAAGCGTTTGGAACTCCCTTGGCGAAGGGAATGACTGACCAAATGTTCCCTTGACAACGCTGCGCGTGCGCGCAGCATTCAGTACTCCATCAGTTGTTGCAAATAAATATTTATTATTATTATTTTATTCAAATATTGTCTAATTGTGTCTTATTTACTATTAAACGTTTTCAAACTAAACTTGCTTACACTACCATCTTAAATCATATTTCTATCACTGATGAAAAATATGTTGTCTTACATTAAAATAGACTAATTTAATTAGTCTATTCCATTTATGTTTGTATGTGAACTCGAAATCAACTCCAACTTTGCTTTAAAAAGCATCACAAGATCTCCTATCCAAAGATCACATGATCACAAACGGAAATCACATTGTGTGTGTATATATACATACACATACACATGTGATTTATTATTATTATTAGGGCTTCATGTTAATGTTAATTTAATGTTTATGCTAAAAAAAGTGCATATAGCTGCTAACTGTATTTGTTGATTTTCAAATATAAAACTTATTGAAATGTTTTCAGTGTGTATCAGTTCTTTTTGAACATTTTCATCTAATGTTAACAAAACCGTGATAATATTGATAATCATGATAACTTTGGTCACTATAATCGTGATATGAAATTTTCATACCGTTACATCCCTACAACAGACCCTTTATACGCACAAAATATGGTAGATCTACACTACCGTTCAAAAGTCAACAAGTTTATTTTTTTTGTAAAGTTTGTGAAAAAAGACTCTTATGCTCAACTAGACCATGTATTTAATCAAAAATACAGTAAAAACAGAAACACTATGAAATATTACAAATTCTAATATGCTTCTAATAATTTTTTTCTGGATTCTTTGAATAAAAAGTTAAAAAACAGAATTCTTTGAAATATTTTTTTAACATTACAAATATTTTTACTGTAAATTTTAATCAATTGAATGCATCCTTGCTGTATAAATTTTTTTTTTTTTCAAAATCAGTAAATCTATAAAATTGTATCGATCCCAAACTTACAATTTTGCATCTGCATTATATCAGGAATATATACTTGTTTTTGGATCTT